CCACTGCCTGAAAATTGGAACCCATGATTGAAACTGAGCAAACCATAGACAACTGGGCCACCCATGCCCCCAGAAATCTCCTGGACCATTCACTGAGCACAAATTGTTTTTCCTGACAAGTATCATATCCAAGTCTGAAACATACTTAAAAGGCAAAAGTTATTTTGACACACAAACAACAAACAGAATCAGTGTTAATCTTTTACAGCTGCGAATATGTCATGCTTTTTGCAAATTTCATGCAATTTGAACAACTGCAGCTTTGACCATTTTAACAAACTCATTTTCTGGTTCAAATCCAAAAATTCCTTCACAAGAATACTAATGAAAACATTCCATGTCACAATAACTTTTGCCTCTGAGTATATGTCTTACTAGGCATGGCAACAAGAATACTGCATCAATTATCTAGATTGTGTTTGAATAACACCTGTCAATCCACGCAATTGGGATACGATGACATGCATCAACCAAGTCAGCAAGCCTGACCACCCGATCCTGTTAGTCGCCTCTTACGACAAGCATAGTCGCCTTTTACGCCAAGTGTAGGTTGCTGAAGACCTATTCTACGCCTGATCTGCACAGGTACATACTTTGAACAGATTGATGTCATAGTACTTTGACAGATGGCTTGATTAAGTTGTAGCACTTTTGATTGACAGAAATGCTAAGCAAGGTGCCACTTGTTTCATAATTTAATAATTAAACAGTAAATATTAAAGATTAGTCCTACCTACATTATTGATTCAATAAAACAATGCACAGCCATCAAAAATCATAACTGAACTTCTGAGCAGCGTGTGTCTTTTGCATCATACTTTCTGTATCAATGGGAAATGCTGTCAGGAGCGATAGTGAAACAGTCAAGCGCTTTACTTAAATAAGCTTTTTGTGTCAAAATCACAGACATATAAACATGATAAAAGTGAGTGAGTGAGTATGGTTTTATGCCGCTTTTAGCAATATTCTAGCAATATCACGGCAGGGGACACCAGAAATGGGCTTGACACATTGTACCCAAGTCGGGAAGTCTTCGGCATGACGAGCGAACGCTTTAACCACTAGGCTACTTGTGACACGTAGTACCCCTAGACATATAAAAAATAAACATGTCACCCTATCATTCGTATGCAAATGTCAGAAAATTTAATAATTAATATATTGTGGCCTATTATAAAGCACAAGCAGTGCAATTATTTTCAGGGCGCCATTTCTAAAGGAATATTACTCATTTAACAAAGGTCACTTATTGTCCATATTGAACCCTGCATATTTTTCAGAACTGGACTACCAGAAGAAATAATGTGTTAATGGCTATTTTATGACAGTGTGCAAATAGCCATGGGGTTTAATGTTATTCATATTCCATTGAACATATCCAATATTTCAGACTTGCTGTGATACAGAGAAACATTAACTAAGGCTAATATATATCAGCAAACACAATATTATTGGGGAGGAACTTTGGTAGTGTGGCTCAGAGCTCCAGATAAGCTTTTGGTGTTGTGGGTATTTTACCCATGCATCTTAAAATCATTGGGTATCAGTAATTCTATCTGGGTATCCAAATTTCTGTTACCCACTAGTTTTTACACATGTGGGTATTTAAGTTAAATATTTAAAAACACTATTCTAATTAAAACATCTAGTCCCTTCAAACTGGTGTCGTGTGGGGTTGAGAGCTTTATAGGACTCAAAAATACCACGATACTTCCACAAGAAAGTGTGATGGCAAATGATCATGATGTAAGTGTCATCGTGGAGTTTGGCAAGGTTGACGGAATGCCCGTTTATAATTTCAAAATAAGTTGCTGATTTGCTTATCGAATACGCAGGGTTACTTCACAATATTTTGATGATATGCACAAGTTTTATTTTTGTAGCGTATCTGTAATGTTCGTTGCGTATTTGATACGCTTGGATTTTATTTTACTGCTTATTTCTGCATTTCTGATGCATATTTTACGCAGATACGCAGCTTATCTGGAGCTCTGGTGGTGAGAGTAATATACTGAATACATGTATATAGCGAATGTTTGGTAGGATGAATATAGTGTATTTCTGTGCATTATGACATTTCTTTAACTGTATGTGACTGGGGACAATAACGAGAGGCAGGGCATTTGGTTTTGTTTGTTTGCACTCAGCAATATTTCAGCTATATGACGGCAGTCTGTAAATAATCAGGTCTGGACCAGACAAACCAGTGATAGATTTCATGAGCAGCGATCCACGCAATTGGGATCGATAACATGCATCAACCAAGTCAGTGAGCCTGACCACCCGATCCCTCTTGTTGCCTCTTACGACAAACAGTCACCTTTTACGGCAAGCATGGGTTGCTGAAGACGTACTCTACCCGGATCTTCACGGGCAAGGGGCGTTTGGTAGTGAGGCATTAGACACTTGTGTATAATCATGATCATGATGATGATGCATATGGATCCCTAGATTTCTATAAAGTAATACTTCATTGTTAATCACCGGTCGCTGCCATAATTGAGGGAGTAAGTTGTGTTGTTAATACAATTTCGGACAGTATTTCAATGATATCAAAACATGTCAACTTCATGCAATCTCAATGTTTACCACCTCGGTGAATCCCACATGCACAGATAGGTCCTGACAAACCAAGAAACATAACCAATGTGAAACTGGGATACGAACACACACTCACAAGTCAGCACCAGCTTACATAACTGGGCCACCCATGCCCCCATGGCTGCACTAAAATCATAGCTTTTGTTGTGACAGGTGACTTCTAATAGTAATACTGAAATTTCTTTAAATGAAAAATACTTTGAGATAGATGAGTGAGAAGGAAATTACCGTATTCGACGTAATAAGCGCCCAGGGCTCTCTCAAAATTAGAAATAGGGGGCTCTTATTAAAATATTATTTTGAGTTGAAAAATACATTTCGTGGATTATGCTGACAGCCTAAAATGTTCATATATGACAGATGTATTTTTCCAGAATTTAATTGCCCATAATTAAGGGTGCATAAATAAGTCTTCAATCGGAAGGGGTGCTAATTGGGATCGCTCACTAGCCAATATATTAGTAAATATTGCCGTGGGCGCTTATTAGAGCGGGGCGCTTATTACGTCGAATACGGTACATCACTTTTAGCATGTTTAGCATGTTTATAAATAACCGTGCACATAACCATGATAACATGGCATGGGCTTCACACACTGTATCCAAGTCGGATGACCTGTGATAAACCAATGCTGTAACCACTGTGCTACATATTGCCCCTTAAGACAAGTGAGGTGAGGTTAAATGCATCTTCCCAAGGCAAGGAGTTAACTGACAATAAGAGTCCAGGTTGAACCCTTGCCGAACTAGGCCGGAATTTCCGGACTCGACCAGTGGCTATTACGAGTTATGTCCCTTCTATTGACCAATCACATTCCACCTCTCACATCACATGCATTTCTCTAAACAAAATGGTGACGCCCAGTCAAGACAATCTGATCGGTAAGCAAAATCTATATTTCAGGTCTTACCTCACCTTAGCACTTTGATTAAAACCATGAAAAGATTTGCAAAATATTTTTAACCTCTTTTGGTATGATGCGACCGGGGATCAAACCTGTGACTGACCTTCCACTATCTAGACCCTCTCTCTATCTACCAGACCAAAGAGGCAGTTTGAGACATTATTACGATGTAAACATTTCAACCAGATACAACAATAGCACCTTGGAAAAGCAAAACTGAATAGATGTCCATTGTTTCAGACTAAACACTCTCATGCTTTCAGTATCATAAACCTGGAGCAGGTAAAATATGGCTGACAGTGGTCATGGAACACAAACAGAATTAGCTTAACAGAATATAAAGCAAAACACACAACAGGCACAGTAGGAAACTGGTAGGCCTACTTAATAAAAACTAATATAAACAATTATCATCATGATTAAATGTAGAGCTCATCGGTTTACCATTGGTATGGTCCCAGATCTTAATTGCCGCTTTGTACCGAGGCCATAAATAAATATAGGTGTACCCCTATTTAGGAAATCTCACAAAAGTCTAATTCATAAATGTATCCTAGATAGCTCCCCCCCTCCCCCGAAGATAGACTGATGAACTGCAATAAACATAATGTGTCAATTAACTTCAAAATGATATCAATACAGTGAGTGAGTGAGTGAGTATGGTTTTACAACGCTTTTAGCAATATTCCAGCAATATCATGACGGGGGACACCAGAAATGGGATTCACACATTGTACCCATGTCAGGAATCGAACCTGTGGCTTCCGTGTGGCGAGCGAACGCTTTAACCACTAGGCTCCCCGACCACACCGATGTCGATACAGAAGAGTGTTGGTGATAAAACTGATAAAATACTGACTGGGTCCAGTTCTCGATATAAAATGCTTTTATAAACATTCATATTTTATCATAAATAATTACTTCTCAATCACATATGGTAAATACTTTCAAATGCATTTATAAACAATCAGACCCGGGTTCGATTCCCGACATGGGTACAATGTGTGAAGCCCATTTCTGGTGTCCCCCGCCGTGATATTGCTGGAATATTGCTAAAAGCGGCGTAAAACCATACTCACTCACTCACTCCAAATGTACAGGAATATTTATTATGATTATGGATGTGAAACTGAAACATGGCATGTATAATTAATGAAATTATTGGCCCCTACTGTAATTTTGTGTTGAGTGCCTGGTTGACATCATTATATATGACAATGTTTGAGTCAGCAAATAACTTGATCATGTTGATAAGACAATTTATAACTTGCTAGTCTCAATGGTTGGACTTTGATCAAGACTCAACGAGGCATCAGATCGGTTCGTGTTGCGCCGGGTAACTCTCAGTGCTCCGCAAACTCATGCACGTGACAGTGGAAGGCTACATTTAAATTTTGTCTTCTGAGTTTTATTATTTTTGTCACACGATTCATATGTTATTGAGGGGGATTTTACTGGAGCTTCAACTATTTATCACATGACAACAAATACTCACCTCCGGGTCCGCTTTCACCCTCAGAAACTCTTCTACCATGAAAGGTCGATCAAACCTTCTAAAATGCAAAATGCCCTTGATGATCTTATCAATGCCCGGCATGTTGACTTGCAGTGGAGAGCGAAGGTTGTGAAAACAAGAGGTGAAAAGCAAGGGTCAGGGATCTCAATAGACTGGTTCCCGGATCCTCCGCTTGGTGTCGCTGCTCTTGCTCCGCAAGCTCCTTCCCAGCGCGTGACACCTTCGTTACACTCTCGGTAATAATAGTATAGAGAGCTCGGCGAACGGTGTATTGCTGTGAGGAGCTTGCTTGCTCCGCTGTCCAAGTCTGTCGCAGGAACGAACGGGAACCAGTCTAGGATCTCAACGGAAGTGGAATACTTTCAATTTTACTTGACGCAAGAGTACTTCCTAAAGGGAGATAATAACACGGTATCGGAAAATGTATCGGGTGTAAAGTATTTTATTGCGCTTCTTACCAATCGTATTTTCACGCGGGGAATGACAAGCCTGGTGCTGGGACCGTGAAAGACTTGGTGATCTCAGCTCCAATTTTGTGTACCGTTCAGTGCCGCACTTTGATGACGTCGCGGTTTCAAAAACTTATTCATTGTATTAAGGTTTTTTATTTCTTCACACAGTGTTAACAAATTGTATAACATTTAACTTTCAAGAGTTGATTGTCTTTTCAACATTATCTAAATTCAGCACATCCAAAACATCTATGCACTGCCTAGCCATCGGTAAAATTGCCGGTTTTGTAAATTTGCCGCTTTTCTACATTAATCGTAATAAGGAAGCACCCGAATATGGCAAGTAAAGTCAAGTAAGCGCCCTTGTTTGAAATCTAAATGTCCCAATAATTCGAAAAGCGTGGTAGCCAGTTTACTAATGTCAGCATTTTTCACAATCCGTAGCACTGTATACATAACATATGAGTCACACGATGTTTTAAAGCTGAGATGAGAGGGTGATGATGGTTATAATTTTGATTTTGCGCACTCGGTGTTTGACATCTTAATTCACAGTAGAAAAGGGACATTTGTACGTGTGAAAAGTTAGGGACCATATATGGTCCCGTGGCATCAAGAGGGACTGTTGTCCGTGTGTAAAAATAGTGCCGTGAATGTCGCGGCCTCACGGAAAGCGGGAGCGATTCCTTGGTCCATGATTAATATTTGTGTCAAAACTAGTAAAGCAATAAACTTCATTAATGGTGGTTTTTCAACTGAAATAGTACGTGATAATAACGTTACGTTCCCGAATTTAGATTATTCTTGGGTACCAAAATTAAAATTGTGAAAATCTGTATACTGGCCACCGACCATGCAGTTATCGCCATTTTCCCGTGTTTTTTCCTGAAATATTTGGAAATTAAAGATTTCCTATTGTACAGTAACTTTGAGTGTCGTTAAACTATGAGCAAATTCATTTATATTATAGAAGGGAATAAACAAAATTGGAAGTAGGTCGACTAACTACCCATTTTCGTCATCATCTATATAACAAGCACGTGCTTCGTGATCAAGTGCACCTTTTCAGTTATACAAAATACATTTATCATATCTCGTGTACGTGTGACATTCTCATATTATTTAAACATTATATCGTAAAAGAATTCTGCCAACGGACGCAAAACATAATTTAAAAAAACCCCTGATCTATAAACATGGTTATATAGACAACGCGATATTTACATGTTACGCATGATTGAAAAAGAGGTAAATGTGGTTGAAAAATTGTATTTTGCGGAGGAAATGACTGATGGATTTATAGCAACGACTGAACTGCACGCCCGTGAAGATCCGGTTATAAATGGTCTTCAGCATCCCATGCTTGTCGTAAGAGGTGACTAACGGGATCGGGTGGTCAGGTTCGCTGACTTGGTTGATGCATGTCATCATATCCAAAATGCGAAGATTGATGCTGATCATGTCAATCCCTGGATTGTCTGGACAGGCTCGATCATTTACAGTACGAATTCATTTTAGCTGAAGTATGGCAGCAAATTTTTTTTTTACATGAACTAGTCACGTAACCTCCCATCACCCCTGCACCCCCTACCCCGCGAGTCTTTTGTCCAGCTCTATTTAAGAAGTTTGCTTATCTGTAACAAGAGTGAATTGTGAACATCATTTGGGGTAGATATCTATCCCTTCTAATAGAATCGGGCAAAGGTCTAACGAGTGGAGTTTTCGTGCGCTATAAAGGAGTGTTGGCGTCAATTCAAATTTACTGCCTCAATAAAGCTTGCAGTAGGGGTCTATAGTTAGAGAGTCGTAACACTATTGATTGTCAGCTTTGGCCCTGACAAGATTCAGCTTCATTAAATGTCAAAAGTGTTTTTTAATTTTGCCTGCAACACTGATATTGCTCTGCTACACAGCAGTTTTTTCGTGTTTACATTTTAATCAAAAATATTTAGTTATTACCGAGTGATTGAAGAGCCCATATAATCCTCACACACACACACACACACACACACACACGCACGCACGCGCAGTAAATGAAAAAATTATCGTAGTGTGTGCCCCAATCCGATTAGTTTAGAAACATTTGACTGAGTTCGGAATCACCCGGACTCGTAACTGCATAAATGATTTTCTTGAAAAATATTACCTTTCTCCTTTTTAATATAAAACAAAAGTGCAATTCAATACTGCTGAGAGTTTCCAAGATCTTCGGTCCTGCCACACCCTGATGGACTTGTACCATATGTGGTGTTTCATTGGGCAAGTGACCTTGTTATAGAAATATGCCTCTGTTCACCCAACAGTGAACGGGTACCCCGTACGATGATCGAATCGTAACCTTCTCGCGACACACATGCAGATTGGGTTTTATTCTCCCCAGGGAGCTGAGAATGACACATCGAGTGCACACTGATCCTTTGACCTGGGTAATAATAATGCAGCTCTTCGAGCATACATTGCGTATAGAGCGTCTTTTTCTTCTTCTTCTTCTTCTTCTTCTTCTTCTTCTCCTTCTTCTTCTTATCATCATCATAACTATTTATAGATCAGTTCTATTATTATTATTATTATTAATATTATTATTATTTGTTGATGTAAATAAATTAGTCACGAGGCCGATATGCTTTCACATTGCAAAGTAATATAGCCATTGTTAGTTCGTTTGTTATAGCAAACCTTGGAACATTTGAACACAAAATGAAAGATAGAGCTCAAGGTCCAAGATTATATATCATGTAACTCGCACAACTGACGTAAACGAATAATATGAATTATTTAGTTATTCTCTAAAGCTTATTCTTTTTTAAGGTGGTTGAGAGTCAGCCTCGACCATGGACAAGATGAAACTTGAATAAATGGTCAAACCTTTTGTGTTATATTTGATATGTTTGGACCAATTACACAATTATATATCAATAAGTGGTAACTGCCTCGATAATAAAAAAGGCCGTTGTTGTACAGCCGGAACATCACGAGCATCGATATAGGCAATTGGGATGCGATGAAATGCATCATCCACGTCAGCGATCCTGTTAGTCGCCTCTTACGACAAGCATAGTCGCCTTTTAAGACAAGCATGGTTGCTGAAGACACATTCTACCCCGAATCTTCACGGGTCATCAGAGTCAAGAGATCGACTCTCCTAACTGACTTATTATGGTCACCCTTAGATCAGGCCCAGCTGATCCTTAAAGTATCCCTCTTTACCCAGGATTAACTCATTCACTCACTCACTGACACTCTCACCTGGGCAGTAGTCTAAGGCGCCACAATTCACTTGGGCGAGCTAAAAACCTATGATTGTTGGTTGGAATCCCGATTCGCCCCGATTATGTTTCTACAAAGTTGTAAACGTCTGAGATCTGCATCACTTCGGGTTTTCCTCCCGCATTAAGCTGGCACGCCGTGATATAACTGAAATACTGTTCAAAGCGGCGTTAAACCAAACTCACTCACTCACTCACTCACTAACTTACCCACTCCTCTCACTCAATCACGCACTCTCTTTTTTGAAGATCCAAATTCGCCCCTCTAAATCTAAACATCTCTTAAACGTCATCTTTAACGCCGACGTTGAACACATTATCACCGTTTTGACGTAATGCAGATTCTATAAACAAATACATTTTGCGTGTGCGCATTTTTACCCAACCATTAAAGTAAACAGTAAAACATTACGGAATCCCGAACACAAACAACCCATTCCAAAGCAGCAAATAATAACGACAGAAGCAATTCTCTGATGGCAGCAGAACTTCGGGTTTTGCTACTTCGTAATGCATTATCCAACATAAAGCTGCAGTTAAACAGATCATGCACCCATGTGCAGGAATAACAGTGGGCGGAAGATATTTGTGTTTTTATTTCGTTGAGGGCAAAATAAAAGAAAGCCACTTTTCCGCCTGAGATGTTTTCATGGCCGCTTAATGTTCTCCTTTCAGGTTATTATCAAAGGTGAAGGTCACTAGATGTTTGTTTTCATGCAGCAGGCACCATGGTTTTAACAAAATGACTTTCGCAGGGATTAATGGGATGTGCTGATTTCGGCGATCGGTATCTAGACACGCGTTTTAGCGTTATCCAGGCAATAGTGATGGATTCTGATGCTGCGGAGACACTTTATTTAAGGTTCCCATTAAACTCGCTTCCGATTTCATAACAAGACCCATGAAGATCCGGGGTAGTAAAGGTCTTCAGCAACCCATGCTGGCCGTAAAAGGCGACTATGCTTGTCGAAAGAGGCGACTAACGGGATCGGGTGGTCAGGCTCTCTGACTTGGTTGATGCATGTCATCGATCCCAATTGCATGGATCGATGCTCATGATGTCAATCACTGGATTGTCTGGTCCAGACTCGATTATTTACAGACCGACGCCATATAGCTCGAATATTGCTGAGTGCGGGGTAAAACAACAAACCAAACAAAACCATAACACGTCAGGTGCAATGCACCCGGTACTTGAGGGGTCAACTGACCATGGATCAGGTGCTACAGGGGTGCATGTATTGAAAGATCCTGCATCATAAGAGAAAATGAATTTTCAACCGTGCCTAGCGGATAGCATTGCTACTTGTGCTATTGATCCATAGTTTGGACCCGCTATACGTCCACGAACAGCGGTTTTATAGCTACTGTTATATTGTTGACAACGAGACTTAAAAAGATTGCCTCTGCCAAATATATGATTGGTGAACCTCTCTTTG